CCTTCCTTCCTTCCTTCCTTTCCTTCCTTCCTTCCTTCCTTCCTTCCTTCCTTCCTTCCTTCCTTCCTTCCTTCCCCCTCCCATCTCAGTGTCACTTCCTTTAATTGTTCAGGGGCCCAGCAAGCTGCCTTTCTCCTCAAGCACGCCTTATGCTTCTGTGCTTCTGCCCTCTCCCCATACCTGACCCACCCACCCCCAGTGCATTTTGAACCTGAGTCTGCTCACCTGGCCCTAAATCCAAGGACTGACCCCTTCTCCCACCCCACCTCCATATCCAGATTATGCCATTTCCAAGCCAGGTGTGTTGTCCCAGACTGAGCGGGCGACCGACTCCTGTCATGAAGACAATGGGGACTCAGAAGAGCAGGGAAGACTTCCTGACGCCACAGCAGGTGAGTTCCAGCATCCCTTGGGAAGAGATTTACAAGGAAATTAAATGAAATTATCTTTAGATAAGGCAAGGATGGACCAGCCGGCATGCTTTAAGAGGGGAGGACTACAACTCTCAGAATCCACTAGCAGGCATTCTTTTTGTTTATTTTTATTTTAAAAATAAACTTTATTAAACATTGAAAAATATATACATAATACAAAACATTTCATAAAATACGAAACCAAAAAGTTATACATAACCAATAAACGTAAAAACACAAACATTTCTAATTGCTTAGACGGTGTGTTCTTATCAAACAGTTTTCCAATACTTAGTTCCTATATCTGGTATATACTGATATCATGACCTCTTCATATTTTCTCTTGCCTATCTGTTTACTCGCTGGTTTCTCTCCTTTATCCAATTATACCAGTTTTCCCAAACTGTAAAATATTTTGAGTCTTCCTTATCCTTTAACTTTTGAGTGAGTTTATCCATTTCCATGCAGTCGTAGATCTGGATTATCAAATTATCTGTTGGCATGTGATCTCTCTTCCAACATTGAGGTAATGCTATCCTTGCTGCAGTTATTATATGTATAATTAAATATTTGATTTCTTTTGTGATTTCACCTTTTATTATTCCCAACAAAAAAATTTCAGCCTTAGGTTCTAATTGAATGTTTGTGATTTCTCTTATCCATATTCGTATTTTTTCCCAATACTTTTTGCTCTTCGGGCAAAGCCACCAAGCATGGAAGAAGGTACCCTTTGTTTGTTTACATTTAGAACAGAGTGGGCTTAAATTTAGATACATATTGGCCAATCTCGAAGGTGCCAGATACCACCGATAGCACATTTTATATTGGTTCTCTTTATAGAGCACCGATTTCGTTAATTTATAGTTTGCTTCCAAATTCTTTCCCAGTCTTCCAAATTGATATTATGTCCTACGTTCCTTGCCCATGCTATCATTGGGCCCTTGACTATTTTTTCTGCCAATTCAAATTCTAATAAGTAGCTGTATATTTTTGAAATTGCTTTTTCATCTGTTCCCTCTAAAAGTTTATCTAATTGATTCAGCTTTGTATCTATTCCGTGTTCCTCTACAATCTTTTTTATACCTTGATTTAAGTTGTAAATATGGCCACCAATCCATCTGTACCCCTTGGTCCCAGAGTTCTTGGTTAGTTTTTAACATTCCTTTGGAATCTAAGACATCATAATATTTAGTCCTACTTCAGATTTCTAGTGCATTGGGGTGTATCAATGCCTCCATGATGGATACCCACCCTGGACTTTTCATGTAATGTCTGTGCTTAATTTCTCGCCAGATTCTCAACAATGAGTTTCGTATTGCATGTCTATTAAAATAAGTATAAGTCTTGTTTCCAGGGTTCCACATGAAGGCATGACACCCTGCCTGCAAATCATGTCCTTCTAAAATTAATATTCTTCTGTTGTTCAGATTAACCCAATCTTTAACCCACATTAAGGCTGCTGCTTTATAATATAGTTCCCATGCAGGGAGTCCAAATCCACCTCTACATCTATTATCTTGTAATGCACTCAACTTTATTCTCAGTCTTTTTCCTGCCCACACAAATTTCGTAGTCATTTGGTTTAATTCACTAAAAAAATTTTTATCCAATTTTACAGGGATCGTTTGAAAAAGAAACAATAATCTTGGTAAGATATTCATTTTAATAGTCGCAATTTTCCCTAACATTGATAACTGTATCTTCCACCATTTTTCTAAGTCTCTTTATTTCTTGTACTATATATAATTTTCCTTTTATCGTTGAGCATCTTGCTGTAAGCCAAATTCCCAGGTACTTGATTTTTTTAACAATTTGTAAGCCCATTACTCCCTCTAATTCCTTTTCTTGACTTTTATTAGGTTTTTTTGTTATCATTTTAGTTTTATCTTTATTAATTGTTAGGCCGGCCACTTCCCCATATTTTTCTATTTCTTTAATTAAATTTGGTCCTGATTCTATTGGTTCTTCTACAAAGAATACAAGATCATCTGCAAAGGCTTGAACCTTGTATTCTTCTTGCTTAATTGTTAATCCTTTTATCTCCCGGTTTGATCTAATTCTCCTCAACGTAATTTCTAATGTCATGATAAAGAGCAGAGGTAAAAGTGGACATCCCTGTCGGACTCCTTTTCCTATTTCAAATGAATTTGTAATTTCTCCATTGATCATTATGCGGGCATTCTGGTTCGAGTATATTGACCCTATCATTTTTTCGAATCTATCCCCGAATTTCATCTTCTTAACCTGTTGAATCATGAATTGCCAGTTTACTTTATCAAAGGCTTTTTGGGCATCCAGGAAAACCAATGCAATTTGTTTTTCTGGGTGTGCCTCATAATACTCCAATACATCTATTACCGTCCTTGTATTATTTTTAATTTGTCTTGCTGGTAGGAAACCGTTTTGGTCTGGGTGTAAAATATTGCTCTTTTTTTTTTCATTCTTTCAGCCATTATGCTCATGAATATTTTATAGTCGGCATTCAATAAAGAGATTGGTCTATAATTCTTTATCTGTGTGGTATCTGCACCCTCCTTCAGTATTAACGCAATATATGCCTCCCTCCATGACATTGGTAACCTTGCCCCTGCTAGTACTTCATTATAAATTTCTAAAAGTATTGGGTCAAATATTTCTCCTAAGTTTTTATACACTTCTCCTGGTAAGCCATCTGTTCTAGGAGTTTTTTTTTTTTTGAATTGCCTCTTTTAATTCCTCTAGTAATCTCTCCATTTAACCTTTTCCTCTCTTCTTCTGTTGAAACTGGAATATTTTCTTCCTCTAAATAATATTTTGTCCTCCCTGACTTCTTCTTGCCTGTAAAGTTCCCTAAAAAATTCCAGTGCTATTTCTTTTTTTTTTTTTTATAAATTTTTATTGGTTTTTAAAACAAACATTAACAAACAAAACATAAAAACATCAAATCATCTTCCATATATGTACATACAGTATGCCGGTTGTTTTACAAATTGTTTTGTGCTTCCATTTCATAGTCTTCAATTATAATTACATTGTATGTAATCTCATATTTTCAATCAATATATTAAATACATTAATATCATTATTAATCAATCATTTGACTATACTTTTATTCATTCATGTTTTCAAAAATGATCATATTTTACTTAATCTGTTTTATGACAATTCATATTATCATCCCAGATCTATCCTAGAATCATTTTGTAGATATTAACAAAAGAATACATCTTTATATATTTATTATTTTCTAAAAGTCTACATATTTCATTACTATATTTTATTGTCTAACCATTGATAGAAAAATCCCAAATTTTATAAAATTGTTTATCATCTTGTTCTCTAATTTCAAATGTCAATCTACTCATTTCAGCACATTCCAATATTTTCTTAATAATTTCCTCCTGTGATGGTATTTTCTCATTTTTCCAGTTTTTAGCAAATACAATCCTAGCCGCTGTTAATACATTTACAATCAGGTATTTCAATTCTTTACTATATATTTCAGGTAAAATTCCCAATAAAAATATCTCTGGTTTCAAATCTATATGCTTTTTTGTCATTTTTTCCAACCATGTGTGGATTTTAGTCCAGTATTTTTTAGCATCCGCACAAGTCCACCACATATGGTAATATGAGCCAGGTATCTGATGACATTTCCAGCATTTTTCAGATTTATTCTTGAACATTCTTGCTATTCTTGTCGGGGGAAAGTGCCACCTGTAAAACATCTTATACAAATTTTCTTTATATGCTGTTGACATTGTCATTTTATAATTTTGAGACCACAATTTTTGCCATTTCTCTAGATCAATCCCATATCCAAAATTCTTCCCCCAAGCAATCATTGTTTCTTTAACTTGTTCTTCTTCTAGTTTAATTTCTAATAAATATCCATACAATTTTTTAATCACCTTTTCATCAGTACCGGTCAAAATCTTATCTAAATCAGTCAATTTATCATAGAAACCTTCTGTTTTAGAATCTTTGTCATACCTTGAATGTATTTGCGCATATGAAAACCAATTCATCTTTATACCTTGTTCCTCTAGTTTTTGTATAGATTTAAGTTCACCCTTTTCATTCAATATTTCACCATATCTAACTGTTTGTTCCTTTTTGTATATTATAGGGTAAGAAAATGCTTCAATAGTCGATAGCCAGACTGGAATTTTCAAATAACATTGTCTTTTAATCTTCTCCCAATTTAACCACAGAGACTCCCGTATATAATGTCTTCTAAAGTACCCCTGTGTTTTAGTTCCTTTATACCATAAAAAAGCATGCCACCCCAACAACAGATCATGTCCTTCTAATGTCAACAATCTAGTATTTCTTAATTTTATCCATTCCTTAACCCACATCAAATTTGTAGCTTGGTAATACAACTCCCAATTAGGCAAACCAAATCCTCCTCTTATTCTAGCATCTTGCAAAAGTTTTAACTTTATTCTCGCTTTCTTACCTTGCCATGTATATTTCAACACAATTTTATTTAAATCTTCAAAGTAGTCTTTTCCAAGCCTAATTGGAATTGTTTGAAACAAATATAAAATTCTGGGTAGTATATTCATCTTGATTGTTGAAATTCTCCCTATTAATGACAGTTGTAAATTTTCCCATTTCGCCAAATCTAGCGCTATCTGCTGCTTAAGTTTGATATAATTATTCTCTTTTAGTGTACTGCATCTTGCTGTCAAGTATATCCCCAAGTACTTGATCTTACTCGTGACCTGAATTTTCAATAGGTCTGCCAATTCTTCCTTTTGTCTTGATAGCATATTCTTTGTCAAGATCTTTGTCTTATCTTTATTTATTTTCAAACCAGCCACCTTTCCATATGTCTCTATCTTTTCTTTCAATTTTGATGCTGTTTCTAGTGGGTCTTCTAAGATAAAAACCAGATCATCTGCAAATGCTTGCAACTTAAATTCTTCCTTTTTAATTTTCATCCCTTTTATATTCTTTTCATCTCTAATATTTCTGTTAACTACTTCCAAAGTTAACACAAACAACAGAGGTGATAGTGGGCACCCTTGTCTTGTTCCTTTTCTTATATCGATAGATTCTGTCAGTT